CCCCCCCCCCCCCCCCCCTTAGGCTTGCTTTAGGTTCTCCCAGACCTGCCACTGTGGAAGAGGAAGTGTTTCATCAGAGCTCAGTCCTCCTGGGGTGTTTACTCGGCAGTAAACCCCAGTGTCTTCAGTGGGGCTTGCTTCCCAATCAAGAACAGTTTCGTGGCATTTTAAAGGCTAACAAAATTTTATTCCGGTATACAGTGTTCCGCACTAGACCTTAAATCCTGGTTCAACCCTGTCCCTGAACTTACATTCTATACTACACGCGAGTTCCCCCCTGTAATTATCTCAGGTCGAATCTGCATTTACATTTTTAAATCAGTTTCCTGCCGCTGTCTTTCTCTCTGCTTGTTTGAACGTTGTTTGGAGAAGATTCTTTTAAAGCATTGGGGAGGTACAATGACAGTGGAGCCCCCACGAGAAGGTGATAAACATATGCGGACGTGCAAAAGTATGCTAGCACTGTGGAGGTGTGAAAATGAGGGTAAGACACATGCAGATCCGACCTCAGGGTATTTTTTGTCTCCACATTACACTGAAGTCACCTTGGCTTCACCCCACACTTGTCCCGGGATAAATGGATGCTGTTGTAACCAGGGATAAATGCAAGCTATTGCATCGCAAGTTGAACTCTGACAAAGCCAGGGATCAGCTCCAAGTGCGGAAAGGACCCTGGACTGCAGCTCGCATGTTCAGATGCACTAGACAGTCTAGAATTTAGTTACTGAATTTCTGTTAATCTGGTTTTGCACCGAAATTTAATGCAGCTGTAATCTCCACCCCACCCCAACCCCAATTTTCTTATCTCACCGTGATTAATCTCCGGAGAATGCTGTTGCTTTGTTACCCTGGATAGTGAAGTCCATAATGCCACCACCATGCCTGTGTTGTGTTTGATGCATAAGGCCAGTGGTAGCGGGGTTACACTTAGCTTAGTGAAAGCAGTTACTACTCTGGGTGTATTAGAAGCTTGCTGCAGAAGAGGAGGGACATGGAATCTTTTCATTTCCTATGCAGCTAAATTAAATGACTGCTCCAAAGAGCATACTAATACGTTAATAAAATAGAAACTAATATAATTAATTACTAAGTCCAGTTGCACCTTTAAGACCAACAAAGTTTTATTCAAGGTGTGAGTTTTGTGTGCACACACACTTTCTCACATTGAAATGGAAGTTATCAGTCCATACATATAGGCAGAGGGTGAACAGCAAATTAGCATATACCATAATTAAGATGTTTTAACAGGTGTAAGAACCAAACAGAAATAACAAGCGAAGTTTATATAGTTAGCATTTGTTTGGATTCAATTGAGGGGGGGGGGGCGCGGATGACACAGTGAGGCAAATAAATATGTCAGAATTGGGGGGGGGGGGGACGACACAGTGAGGCAAATAAATACGTCAGAATTGAAGACTGATGTGTAATTGTATCCTTCTTAATTGTGGGATGCTAAGAGTAATGAACTGAGATCCTGTTACATTATGTTTATCTCCTCTCAAGCATGGAGGTAACTAACAGCGGCCTGTTCTTTTAGGTGCACTGTTATATCTTCTCTGTCACTAGACCAAAGAAATACATCTCAACCTATCATTCTAAATGATAGTTTGCTATAGTGGTTAAGTGCGCGGACTCTAATCTGGGAGAACCGGGTTTGATTCCCCACTCCTCCACCTGCACCTGGCTGGATGACCTTGGGCAAGCCATAGTTCTGATAAGAGCTGTTCTTGAAAAAGAGCCGTTTCTGTCAAGAGCTCTCTCAGCCCCACCTACCTCACAGGGTGTCTGTTGTGGTGAGGGGGAGGGGAAGGGAAAAGGGGTTTGTAAGCCACTCTGAGACACCTTTGGGTAGTGAAGGGCGGGGTATAAATCCAATCTCCTCTTCTCTTCTAAATGATATTACATTCTAATATTCTTTGCATTACATTACAATCATTATTCCAATCTACTATTCCAAATAAGAGATACACTAAAATAAAGAGGACGTATAGCTGTTTTTGGTGAGAGTACAGATGTAAGGACTGAATGAGTTTGGCATAAGAAACCAATATCCCTGTTAAGTCCTGGAGAGGGGGTTATTCCGAGTGTTGTAAAAACTTGTAATTCAGCCATTTCCTTTTCCAGTCTGTTCCCGAAGTTCTTTTGCAACAAAACAGCTACTTTGAGGTCAACCATTGAATGTCCTGGAAGGTCGAAGTGTTCTACAGGTTTCTGAGTCTTGTGATTCTTGATGTCAGATTTGTGTCCATTTATCCTCTGGCATAGGGTCTGACCTGTTTGTCCTATGAAGAGACCCGAAGGGCATTGTTGGCATTTAATGGCATATGCAGTGATAGAAGAGGAGCATGTGAATAAGTCTGAGATGGTATAGTTGGTGTTGTTAGGTTCAGTGGTTGTGTTGCCTGGGTGTCTGTGGCAGCAAAGCTGGCATCTGGGTTTATTGTATGTTCAAATTAGTTGTTGCATTATGGCAGGCAAGGAGTTGTTTGAGATTGGGAGGCTTTCTGCGCGCAAGAAAAGATTTGGCCCCTTAGTACTTATAAAAGAAAACTGTTCTCATCCAATAGAGCCGGGGTGGCTCAGGATCCACATGCAGCCACACATATTGTGCGGCTCCTGGTAGGGGGGCTGGGGAAGCGAAGGGGAGGCATGCCTCTTGGATCAGTCTTCCCTTCCCCGGCCAGCGTTCCCCTCCCTGGGTAGGCTTGAGGTAGACGGAAGCAGAGAAAGAAAGCAACTTTAAATGTGTTCTCAAAGTGCCCCCCCTTTTGCTGGCTGGCTTGGAGAAGGCATTGGTCTCACCCCGGCGGGGGGGGGGGGGGGGGGGGGGGGGGCTTGGAAGACATATTTAAAGTTAAAGTTGTTTTCTCCCCCCCATCTGCTTGCTTCCTTTCCACTTTCCTTCTTCCCACCTTTCTGTCTATCTTTCTCTCCTCCCTCCCCATCTAAAGTTAAACGTGTTCTCCAAGCCCCACCACGCCGGCAGACCGGCTTGGCTCAGAGAAGGCATTTTGTCTCTTTAATTTAATTTAATATGCAGATTTGCATGTTTTTCCCATTAAAACGTGTGTGTTCGTGTCTTGTGGCTCTCAAACATCTGGCGTTCATTCTGTGTGGCTCTTACATTAATCAAGTTTGCCCCCCCCCCTTCAGTAGAGGTTGTAAGTCCCTGACAATGCGTTGAACTGTTTTGAGTTGAGAGCTGTATGTGACCACCAGGGGTGTTCTTTTATTGTTTTTTGGGGGGCTGTCCTGTAACAGGTTTTCTCTGGGTACCATTCTGGCTTTGTTAATCTGTTTCCTGACTTCATCAGGTAGATACCAATGCAGATAACTCTGGAGAAGTAGAGGATGTCAGACAAACCA